CGCGCCGTGACGCAGAAGCATGATTTGACTAGAAGTCGCTCTCTACAAAGCACACATGCAAGTACATGTGTGCCAGTGTGCACTGCACAGTGTAGACTGATGATGTTGACGTAGAAGCATGTTTTGAATGGAAGCATGGTTTGAAACCCCGGCTTAGACGGCCGTAATCACCTGCTTTTGTATGTGACATTACGGTATGCCATCACACATGGGTTATCCAGACACACCCGCAGAGACGGTCCACATGAATTTCCTTGCTGCTCTCAGTATCCTTGCGATGTGTAGTTTTTAAACAGTGCTGACGTGTGCCAGGTCCGGTTGATTGGCTCATGTCAGTGTTCTGTTGTGCAGTACAATAGGGTCATGCACAACATATTGCCGCACTCTGCGGATAATCTGATTCTGTCTCTCACCCTCACTCTCTCTCTCTCTCACTCACTCACTCACTCTCTCTCTCTCTCTCTCTCTCTCTCTCTCTCGTTTTCTCTCGTTTCACTCGTTTTCTCTCAGATTTCAACTGGAACGGTGCACGCATCAACACTGAAAGAGCCACAGACACTTGGTAAGCTCTCCTCTCCGTTCGTTTGCCTCTCTCTGTCCATGTGCCTGTCTTCAAAGTTGAAATCAATGGTCTTGGAAGTGTGGCTCTCCTATCTCTGATTCTTGCTCTTGGGAAGTAGCTTGTGCACTAAAAGTCCAGTCTCCTCAGGGCTCCGACACACATATGCACGGGGTTCCGCTTCGGCGGCGAAGTTTCACGCCAGCCAGGCTTGTGCCTCTTCAGTTCAACCACATATGTGTGGTCTCTCTCTCTCTCTCTCACTCTCTCTCTCTCTCACACACTCTCTCTTCCATTATACTTTCTTTTCCACTCTGCATTCATTCGCTATCCGTTGTCTTTGTCGTCCTGCTCAGTGGCTAGTCTGTTTCAAGAGTTCCTGACTTCTCTGCAACGTCGCCTGCTCAACATCGGCGACACGGCCACTCTAGCTGATGGCGGTGGCGGGGATGGCCTTGCACTCGACAGCACCCCAAGTAACCGTGATGACCTGAGCTGCAGTATCCATGACGACGCAACGAGCATCGCGACGACCACCAGCGGCACGCTGTCCTCTCTGGACAGCTTGTCCGTCGGCTCCGTTCAGAACTTTGACATTGATCGGGAGTTCCAGCGAGCAGACACACGCACTGACGCACCGGACACCGGTTATGTGATGTTGCCACGACGACTGCAGGACGACTTCCTTTCACTACCGCGTCTAGATGCACTCGCATCCGACCGTACGGGTCAACTCCAGTCTCCCGGCAACGTTTCCATGGCAACGTGTTCAAGTATTTCTCCGCAGCGCAGCGCCAGTTCATCCGATGGTCTAAGCACTGGGCTGACGCGGGACAGTGTGGATTTTGGCTCGCAGGTTGCCAAGGCGATGCCCTCTCCGTCACCTGGTTATTTGTCGGCGCTTGCACCCAATGCTCTGCTAGGCCGTAACTTTGCTTCGTTGACCACTGTGCACCTGGGGAATTCCCCCATGCAGGTATGGCGCAATGTTTATTCTGCATCGTACTGGTGCAAGTTGGTGTGGGTCTGTGTGTTGATGGGTGTGAAAGGCACGTGTGTGTGTGTGTGTATGTGCGTGTGCGTGCATGCGTGTGTGTGTGTGCACGCGTGTGTGTGTGTATGTCTGTCTGTCTGTCTCTCTCACTCTGTCTGTCTGTCTGTCTGTCTGTCTGTCTGTCTGTCTGTCTGTCTGACTATCCGCTACTGCATGTTGTGAATCCCTTGGCTCAACTTGTGCTGGTGTGTCATCGTATGGATATCAAGCTTGTGCCGAATATGTCTGTGTGTCTGTGTGTCTGTGTCTGCATGTCTGTGTACGTGCACACATGTTCAGCGTCAGCTCGCCACTCTGCAGCGAAGCAAAGTAACTGCCGGTGGTAGCGGCGGCGGTGTCTTACAATCATCACCATGCAGTAGAGCCCACTACACTCGCACACACGCCTCTTCGCACACATCACCATCAGTGATTACATCATCGCATGGAACAATTACATCATCACACTGTGCCACTACGTCATCGGCATGCAGCACGATCTCATCATCTACCGACAACGACAGGAGTTTCTCCGTTGAATCCGCCGGTGACACTGACGACGCGTCCTCGCGTCTGGAGAGTATTCGCCGAGCTGTTCTGAACTCGGCCCAGCGTGGGCGGACAGCTTTGTCCAGTGCTGGTGGCGGCGGTGTCGGTGTGGCTGTGGCTGCTGCTGCCGCTGGCGGTGCTGTGGAACTGTTCTCGGACGACTTGAGTGCTGTGACGAGATTGATCAACAGTGAGTCTGGTTCAAGTGGTCACCCCTGGAATTATGTGTACGTGTCCATGTTCACTTGTTTGAGGGAAAGACACATGTATAGAATTTTTTAAGTGTGCCGTTGTTGTTGTTGTTGTCGGCAATGACTGACGTCTTCTGTTCTTACATTATTGTTATTGTTATTGTTTGTCGCTGTCTGTGTCATCATCCTTGTTCTTGCCCTTGGCGTCGTCTGTTGTCGTTGTTATTGTACAGCTCTGCCACTGTACCACGTACCGTTCTCCATAGCACTGAACAGCAGCCTGCCACCTTTGCTGCACCGACGATCCGATGCCGTAAGTTTTTCGAACGCTTGACAATCACGCGAACAAACTCGTAACTCTGTAATCCAGGCGGTCCGGGACTGGGCACTGCCCAGAACTTTGAAATGTCAGTAACTCTGAATCACATACATCTTGATGGGCAAGGGCCAGAGATATGGCAGATGATGTCACTATTTCCACGAAATGTTGGCAAAACAATAGTGATATTTCCATTTATAAAACGGCACAAGAGTAGTAATATTTCCACTGCAACTCACCGACAAGTATTATAGTTGCCCCTTCGACCGAGGTGCCCGTAACTTCGAGGTCCGGATAAGTGAGATGTGATTGTTAGAGTAATGTGAACATTAGCCCTCCTCGCGTATACCTACAGTCTGTTTCAAAAATGTAGACGCACGGTATTTTTGAAGTATTTCAAATTTGGCTGGAGCTTCTTGAGAATATTTTCGGAATATTGCTCAGGTCCTTCCCACAATTGCTCTCATATAGATTGTACAGTCTATATCCAGACAACTGATAATGGTGCAGAGCCACTCCGTTTTATGTGTCTATCAGCACTGCTTGTTGTACTGTTGTGCATTATCATACTACTCCGCCTTCGTTCCTCATGTTGTATTCACGTCAGCTGACGTCTGATGCGCGTAGTCGCGTACACTGCTTTCATTCCTCATGTTGTATTCACGTCTGGATGCGCGTAGTCGCGTACACTGCTTTCGCGCGATCTTTTGATTTGAATGATTTTGAATCTCCGCTTCTGCTTCGAGAAAAGCAGAACTTTCCTTTTGTACTGCAAGATGATTTCGATCAGAGTAAAACATTATAATACAGTCTTCTAAAATAACGAGTCGTGTGCTATCCGGAGGCATGTTCGAGTAAGAACATAGATTTTTAAGCGATCGGATAGCAAACGCCCAATTTCGAAGTTTTTATGCACAAAGGGATCACAGATTTTATGTGGTGTAGATGCTGGCCTAACGGTTTTTTTTTAAATCACGCGTCTTTATTTTTGAAACGCACTGTAGGGACCTATCATGTGAGCCCCGGCCAGCGAAAACCAGCACTTGTGTACTTGATATCAATCATCAAAATGTGACGTCAAAGTTTGGGACGCGCAGTGAGCTGGCTTTTGAAGATTCTTTTTCGATCGAGTGGGTGTCTTCGTTGTCAAAGGAGTTTCAAATGTCTTCAAATGAGTCTGGTCAATTGATTTTAGCGCTAGGTGAGAGCTCGTCAAACGGAGGTTGAGTTTAGACACAGCGATGGCGACAGGTGTCGCGACAAGGACTTAGGTCCAGAGTTGTCAGCGTGAGACTCCCTGTACGAAGCGGCGCTGAAAGTTTGTTCGCGATCGGAATTATTTCTTTGGTGGTGATCTCGCTGAGTTTGTCCAGCAGTGGCGAGTCTCATATTCATAGCAACGAAGAGTCCTCATAAAATCGACACTGGATACTGGTGGCAACGCTAGTCAGTGCTGGAGTAATAGCGACTGCGAGGAGAAGCTGAATGTCGACCCGCTGAGCGATCCGTATTTCTACATCAACAACAATGATGTTGCAGACACTGATGGAGGGCTTCTCACGACGCAAAACAGAGCGTAGTATTATCAGTACTCTGCCTTGTCGGACGACGCCAAGCTGGCTGCTGCCTGTGCTGAGAAAGGGGATTCCTAAAAAGTGAAACCGGCTGAACGCTTGGGGGCAACATCTTCACGTGCTACAAAACGCGAGTATTCGCTCATATCATTGAAATACAATTATGCTGAAATCATGGTCTGAGTGAAAGTGTGCAAGGAAGTGGATGTCAGTGGTATTGGTCAGTACATCTATCAGTATGGCAAGCTTCGGGACAACGCTCAAACTGCCAGCACAGAGGTCCCTGAACACAATTTGGAAGGCCAGCTACCAATCATCGTTTTGCACTCTGGTGTTGTAAAGAAGGTAGTGGTGTATACGGAATATCGTCACACTTCTGAACTACTCATGCCTGCAGCACCAAGAGGGCAAGCCTGACTTCCATTCTATTTACTTACATGTACCTGTTCCACATCACAATCAGAAACTGTAGGATCAACTTGCATGGGGTCACTAGGCATGGATGCTGCGCCGACTGTACCGAATCTTGACCTGTGTGACTTCAAACTCTATTTTCCATGCTTTCGCTTATCAGATTGTCACCAAATTTGATAACTTGAATGATTAATAGTGTAGAATCAATTTCGAGCGAAAAAATAATTTTTGAAAAAATTACACATGTTCAGGTTTCTGCTGGCTGGGGCTCATGTGATGATGGGGAGGGCCGAGGGCGGTCGTCTCGGAGCCAGTTGTCCCGATATTGTGAAATGGTTTTTGTTCGCCGTGTAATGGTGCATTGTCTTCTCGTCTTTTTTTTGTGTTTTTTTCCGTTTTCGCTGGTACAGATCTGCAAGCAGCTTGCGGATGTTCTGCGTAATAAGTACTCACTGGCCTCGCATCTCAAGCATCTCCAGGTAATAATACAGTTCATTCATAAAAGTGAAGTGTGTCCTTTTTATGAGTATTATCGCATTTTTGTCTCAGAGGAAACTGTTCATTCATAAAAAATATGATATCCTTGCTTTTGGCCATAACTGGGTCAAATTTTTAGAGTTTTTTCACGATTTCTTTTTGCAGTCCGCCATGCAATGCTCTTCCAATTATGTTTCTGCTCAAATTTTTAGAGTTTTTTCACGATTTCTTTTTGCAGTCCGCCATGCAATGCTCTTCCAATTATGTTTCTGAAGTCTTTTTCTCCAAGCAATAACAAGATTTTGGCCAGGTTTCGCCCCCAAAGCACTGAATTAGGGAAACGCCAAGAAAATCCAGGCCGTTCCCTCCACTTGCATAAGCAGTTCATTAATAATGAAAGTACCTTGTGCGTATCGAACTCCAGTTGAGGTACCTTTTTTGGACCCTTTTTCAAGTTTCGAATCTCGTGGCACTGCACCGTGTACGACAAAATCACGAAAAATCACCAAATACGGGAGCTGGCCAGAGCCAGCGCTCGTATTTTTCTGAATGGAGTGTAAGTAGTATTTGATTGCACAACCTTGCCATTGATAGCTGCCCCTGGCCACTGGCCTTGCACCCCAAGCACCTTCAGCTAATACTTCATTGCACAACCTTGTACGATGACCTTGTCTTGTAAACTAACCGCTGCTGCACATGTGTGTGTGTGTGTGTGTGTGTGTGTGTGTGTGTGTGTGTGTGTGTGTGTGTGTGTGTGTGTGTGTGTGTCTGTCTGTCTGTATGTTTGTATGAGTGTACATTTGTGTGCGTGCGTGTGTGTGTGTGTTCGCGTGTGTGTGTGTGCGTGTGCCGGTCTGTGCTCTTGACAAATGCCCCCAGAGCTACTTTCTGATGGAAGCCGGTGCCACCATGCATCACTTCTCAGCTAGTATCTTCCAGCAGGTACAGTACTAGTACAGTACGATGTTTTTCGATTTTGACAGCATGTTACAAGGCGAGGACGCTTAGTGCTCCTGACTACAACCATAACATGGTTGGCAGAGTCCCGGTCTTGCGACCACCAAGCAAGGCTTCTTTATATATACTGTACAGTACTAGTAGCACTGCAAGATTCATGTACTGCAGTTTGGCTCGGCTCTCTCGTAGCGGCCTTTCTTCATCACTTTTTGGAAATTTTCAACGCTGTAAGACTGTTCATGAAAACTCTCCAACCGTCCACTTCAATGCTTGTTGCGAAGAATGTGTGTTACGGTATTGCATGAAGAATGTTTGTGACGGTATTACATGAAGAATGTTTGTGACGGTATTGCATGTGTGGAAATAGTTACTGTACGGGACCAGGCAGAACATTTCGTCGGTCAATAATTCCGTCCAACTACAAAGAAAGGGAGTTCGTCCTGTTGAAAATTTCGTCCATGGACCACAAGAGTGTATTATATGTATTACGTATGACGAAATTAAATTCCAGACGAATATTTCTGCTTGTGCAGTAGTTGGAGGTTAAAACGTAAAAGCAATAAATTTCCTCTTTTTGTCCTTGTTGCTGTTGCTGTTGTTCTCCTGTCCATTGTTGTAGATCTGTGCGGGAGAGGACTGGTTACGTACTAGCAACCTGAACGCACTGCTACACGAAGCGCTCTCTTACAGCAATGAATGCGACGAAATCTCCAGGTGAGCACCGACGATGCCACCGCTGCTGTTGTGATCATGCCTAGCAAGAAGGAGACATGTGTGTGTGTGTGTGGGTGGGTGGGTGGGGGGGGGGGGCAGGTGTGGGTGTGTGGGTGGGTGGGTGGGTGTGGTGGGGGGGGGGGGGGATAAGAGTGGGTGAGTGGATGTGTGTGCAGGTGTGGGGGTCTGTGTGTGTGATCCCGGTAGCCTAATCGGTAGGGCACTGTCCCGGAAAGACAGGGGTGCTGGGTTTGAATCTCGCTCGTGTATCCTTCTTTTGCAGCACACGTACTGTTGCCTTGGTGACGGGTATACACACTCACACACACACCGTGTTCTTCACGGTTCACGGAGTGGTCTTTAAGAAGCGCCGCCACCATGCATTGCCACGGCTGCTGGTAGAGAGTAAGCCTGCAGTAGGTGTGTGTGTGTGCCACACTAGCCACTCAGCTCAGCTGTGTGTGTCGTGGTGCGTGATTACCGTAAAATCCCGCCAGAGCGCCCCTACCTCTGCCGCCCTTCCAGTAGGTCCTGGCGGGGAGGGGCGGACGAGCGACTTCTACTCACCGCATTAAGATTCTACAAGAACAAGAACTCACGCTACGAAAACTGTGCGTGCGTCTCGTACACCGACCAAAGGTCAAGAGCAGGGAGTCGTACAGACCCATCCAAACCCAGGTTTTGTGCGATCCCTGGTCAAGAGGGTGTGAAGTTGTGAACTGTTGCGTACATTTCCAGCACGAGCACGCGTCTGCAGTGCAATACGGCATCGCACTTCACAGAGCCGTACAATTATACAATGTCAATCATTATCACTACCCCGTTCCCGGACAAGAAGTCAGGGAGGGACGCATGGGAGAGATTAGTGGGGGTGGAGGGGGGGGGGGGCACTCTGGCGGGATTTTACAGTACTCAGTAGTTATAGTAACTGTCGGTGTTGTACGTTGTACGCTAACATCATTATCTGTTTGTGCTCGACTTCTCCTTCCCAGTTTGCTGAGTATTGACATAGTGCAGCCACAGATGATGCCCGCATCGTCATCGTCAACGGCAACGAGTACTGCTGCTAGCAAGCGCCGTGTTCTGGCCAGCAAGCTCTCGGCGACCGAGTCGACCGCGTTTGGCTTTGATCGCCTGAGCCTTCTGTATCGGGTGTGTTTCATGGCTCTGCGTGTGTGTGTGTGTGTGTGTGTGTGTGTGTGTGTGTGTGTGTGTGTGTGTGTGTGCATGTGTGTGTGCATGTGTGTGTGCATGTGTGTGTGTGTGGGGGGGGGGGGTGTGGGTGTGTCAGCACAGCTTTGCGTGTGTGTGTGTGTGTGTGTGTGTGTATACGTGCATTGGTGTGTGTCCGTCTGCCCCTCCTTTCTTGTACAAAGCGACACACGTTTGTTTGTCAACCCTGACCCGGCCGCATAGCAGCGCTTGCCTGCATACTGTACAAGTACAAATATTCGTTTGGAATTCACTTTCGCTATATTCGTCAGGGGGCACAACATAACTAAAGTTAGTACCAAACTATAGTTATTTCAGAACGTTCGGGGTGACAGACCTTGACCGAAAACGAAATTTAGTACGTAACAAGCCTGCTGGTGGAGTGATCTAACGAAAGATTTCGAGAACGAAAATTTGTACTTACACAGTAGTGTGGCAGTGATCTGTTCGCGCTGGAGCTACTTGACTAACCTGGGGTCCCAGCTTCATTGATGCAGACAAGTAGCTGGGCACCAGGGGATAGGTACATGCAGGTTTTAGGTACATGGGTGGAGCAGATAGGTACTTGCAGGTTTTAGGTACATGGGTGGAGCAGATAGGTACTTGCAGGTTTTAGGTACATGGGTGGAGCAGATAGGTACTTGCAGGTTTTAGGTACATGGGTGGAGCAGATAGGTACTTGCAGGTTTTAGGTACATGGGTGGAGCAGATAGGTACTTGCAGGTTTTAGGTACATGGGTGGAGCAGATAGGTACTTGCAGGTTTTAGGTACATGGGTGGAGCAGATAGGTACTTGCAGGTTTTAGGTACATGGGTGGAGCAGATAGGTACTTGCAGGTTTTAGGTACATGGGTGGAGCAGATAGGTACTTGCAGGTTTTAGGTACATGGGTGGAGCAGATAGGTACTTGCAGGTTTTAGGTACATGGGTGGAGCAGATAGGTACTTGCAGGTTTTAGGTACATGGGTGGAGCAGATAGGTACATGCAGGTTTTAGGTACATGGGTGGAGCAGATAGGTACTTGCAGGTTTTAGGTACATGGGTGGAGCAGATAGGTACTTGCAGGTTTTAGGTACATGGGTGGAGCAGATAGGTACATGCAGGTTTTAGGTACATGGGTGGAGCAGATAGGTACATGCAGGTTTTAGGTACATGGGTGGAGCAGATAGGTACTCACAGGTTTTAGGTACTTCCTCCGCGTCATTAAAATTGTCGCTTCGCACATCGCAATATTTGAGACTTGGCTCGTCTTAGTCAGACTGTCGGAATCGCTGTTTTCTGTGTTCGAACACTGGTGCGACCCTTCCTGCGCAATGTCGACTTGCCACTGAAGCCGTGGTGGTCTCGGACTTTGTCGGAGCGCTCTTCCGCACCAAGCAAATTCATCGCGCTCCGCACTATTCCGCCCCAGAGCGCATTTCGTTTTCTGGAGTTTGTGCCGTCCCCCATCGTTCGCGTGGGCATATATCAAGACTGCAAGCTCGGGTATAAGAATCCTGGTATCTTTCCTGAATACGAAATGCTGAAGTTGACGATGGCAAGAACAAAGCGGTCTCAAATTCCTAAAAATAATTAATGCGCTACTTGTGGCGCATGTGGCTGCGAAGGTAGCAGGTCTGAAAACACCAACAACATCAGCGAAGCGCTTGCCAAGGAAAGAAGGTGCGAAACTGCTTACCCTATCCCGTTGGAAGGCCGTTACAGTGTACTTGAAAAATGCTAGCTTGCCTTCATCGCCTGCCACCGGGAGGCATGGATCGCTTGAAAACGAAGTTTCTTGACCTGACTTTGACTGCGCGTCTTGTTCAGCGTATTGTTGAGTGCTGAAGGGTCTGCCTCAAACTCTGATGAAGACGTCGACCTTAGCTGCAAGTGCAGAGAAGCGGGGGGGGGGGGGGGGGGGGGGGGCACAAACTAAAGCTTGGTCCGTCGACAATGCTCTGCCTCAATTTCTAGCTGATTTCTTTGCCCTTCGAGTGGACAAAATATATTCGAAAAATCGCTCTGGGAAGCGACAATTTTAATGACGCGGAGGAAGTACATGGGTGGAGCAGATAGGTACTCACAGGTTTTAGGTACATGGGTGGGGGTGGGGGTATGGACTCAGCACAACCATCATACTTGTGTGGCACACCTCACTTTGAGCGCGTGTGTTGCTTAGCAAAAAATTCCAGCATTTATTATGTGTTCATGTGCGTGCGTGCGTGCGCGTGTGCATGAGTGTGTATGTGTGTGTGTGTGTGTACACATGTGTGTGTGTGTGTGTGTGTGTGTGCGTGTGTGTGTGTGTGTATGTGTGTGTGTGTGTGTGTGTGTGTGTGTGTGTACGTGTGTGTGTGCGTGTGTGTGTGTGTGTATGTGTGTGTATGTGTGTGTGTGTGTGTGTTCCGTGCCATTCTGCGTACGTTTGCAGACGGAGTGGCCAGTCGACATAGTGGTGAGCGAGAAGGCCCTGGACGATCTCAACCGCGTGTTTCGATTCCTGCTACACCTGAAGTTTGCCAAGTGGAGCCTGGACAACTGCTTCTGGCAAGGTTCGGCAATCACTCGATCTGTGTGTACAGCTCTTGCTATCCTGCAATGTGACCGCTGACGTGTGTTTGTGCGTTTGTGCACGTGTCACGGAGCTGTCAAGCGAATAGATTCAATAGGACATTTTACTCGGACGGAGAGCCAAGGAAGAATTTAAAGGAAAGAAAAAGGACCAAGGAACTACAAGTTCTGCTACACCTGTAGTTCCTAAATAAAACAGTTGCCTGTTGTTAAAAAGAAAGGACAACATGTTACGAGTTATGACAAACTGTCCACCAACGTAACCAGATCATAATATACAGTCAGCGAGTGTGGCAAAATGGCACAAAACCGACAAGTTCCGTTGGTGGACAGTTACCGTATTTTTCCGGTTGTAAGTCGACCCTTTACGACTGAAAATAGAAGGAGAAAGGGTGGGGGTCGACTTACAACCGGGATTCGACTTATAACCGGGAACTATCAGTATCTTACAAAAAAATGACCTGCACTGCATGCACGAGTGCACCATGTTTATACATTTTTGCCAGTTCATTGGCCTTTTTCAAGGATTGGGACGTTATCCTCCAAAAAGGAATGTTTACATGATTTGTTGATGTGTTAGTAGCAGGAGGTGGTTAGTAGTGCTTCTTTGGGTGAAAACTTTGAAACGCAGAATTGTGACCTCCAGATAGGGGGGTCGACTTACAACCGGTAAAATACGGTAGTCGTAACTCGTAACATGTTGTCCTTCTTTTTATCCATGATTACTTTGGCTCAACATCCGAGTTTAAATTTGCATGTTTGTTTATTTTATTTTACTTCACCAGATACTCGGGTGTTTCTGCCTTCTCATCCCACCACATGGCTGGGATCTCAATAAAAGATGAATCCTGAGTCCGTTCTGTCTGTATGCCCTGTGTTTCCTGTACTCTTTGTCCAGATACGGACCTATCGCGTGCGTGCGGTGCCGATTCTCCAATCTACAAGCGTGCCTTCCTGCTGCGTGTCAAGCTACTGCACGTCGTCAACGCCATCCACTCGTACATCATGACGCGCGTGAGTGCTCGGCGGGGCCGGTGGGTGGGTGGGTTGATGGCCTGTCAAGCAACAGCACAAGCAGTGATTGTGTGTTTGACCAGGCCGTAGCATGACTGTATGTACAGTCAACTTTGCGAATAACGACATTCGGCGGGGCATCAGAAAACTGTCCTTATTCGCGAAGTGTCCTTATATCCGAAGTCCCATTTGAATGTATGTGAACCCATATTTTGTATAGTATGACATGCATATCGAAATGAGGCTCTTTTCATGCTCTACGTCAATTTGTACTTTATTTTCGTATTGCGATTGAAAGGAACAATAAAGTCAATATCCAAGGGAAATAAATTGAAAAATTAACCTTTTGGAGTCATCTACAAGTACAGGGACAAGTTCATGTACATGTATGAACTATGAAGATTAATGTGCAATCATGTACAACTACATGTACAATAGGTGTGCTGATCATTCCAACTATTTTGAAGAAAAGAAAAAAGAAAAAGCCCCCCCCCCCCCCAGGCTGTATCTTCTTGTATGTGTGCCTTATCCATCGCCACGGGTTCTGGTACTTCTGCATGACAGGTACTTCAAATAGCTGTCAAAAAGCCAGAAAGTCGTTATTCAAGCAGTGAATATGAGCTCAGGGCACTAAAATCATGTCGCTATTCGCGAATTGTCGTTATCCAGATAGTCGTTATATCCGAAGTTAAATGTATACAGTCAGATGGGACTTTGCTCTGGGCATGGAAATTCTGTCGTTATTCGCGAATTGTCGTTATATCCGCAGTCGTTATTAGCCAAGTTGACTGTAGTACATGTACACTCATACCTCGTTTATCCGGGAGGTCCGGGACCGGGCACTGCCCGTAACTTTGAAATGTCCGTAACTCCGAATCACACACATGTTGAATGGATTGTCGATGCGGAATTTCTACAAAAGTGACAAACGTGTAGTAGTATTTCCACTGAAACTGGCCCAAAGTGCCCATCTCTGCGGTGTTGGGATAACCAAGGTATGAGTGTGCTCTCACTGAGGACCACTGGAAGCAGTTTTTGATCGGCCCGGCCAAACTTTGTGTATGATAATTAATTATACAGTCGCTTATCCGGTCCTCTTTTATCCCAATCCCTCGCCATCCGGAAGAAAATCGTTGGTTACCGATTTACAGCATATGACATGCATACATACAGTATGCGTGTTCGATTGTCCGGTTCCCTCGCCTATCCGGATATTTTTGTGGAAAACGGATGTGTGTGATGTTAAAAGCGAGGTCTGACTGTAGCGGGTACACACATGACCTCCGCAGGAAATTCACGTTGGTGGCCAATAAGTTGGTCCGGTGGTGACCTAACCTGCTGGACTGATTCCGGCGTGCGTGTCTATGTATGGCGTGGTGGATGTAATTGGCTTATTCTCTCGACAGTTACCACACACTGGTGAACAACGATTTGGTCCAGCCATGGCCTGGCTACTGGAAGTCAACAAATATTCGGCGCATATTTATTTTCGGCTATTTTCGGACCAGTTATTTTCGGACGGGTTATTTCGGACCAGTTATTTTCGGACGGGTTATATTTGGCCGAAATTTTGTTTTGCAAGGTTGAGTGTGACAGTGCATACGGTCAGAAGCAATGCAGGCCGAAAATGTAATGCAGCCGAAATGTGTTTTAGCCCTGGGAGGCCGAAATTTGAATGGGCCGAACATTTGTACACTTACAGTAAATGGACGGATTGCGCTGGACTTGATGGGTGGGTGTTCGGCTGGTTTTCATCCTCGCAGTAATACTAGTACACTAGCCTATAAGGGACAACCCTGTGTGTATGTGTGTGATTTTGTTTGTGTGTATGTGTGTGTGCGTGCGTGTGTGTGTGTGTGTGTGTATGTGCGTGTCCGTGTCCGTGTCTGTCTGTGCGTGTGTATGTGCATGTGTGCGCATCTGTGTACGTGCGTGTACATGCTTATGCGCGTGTGTGTGCACATGCCCGCCTGTGCGTCTGTGCGTGTCTACAGATCCTGCACAGTGTGGGAAACGAGTACATGAGTCGGCTGGCGACCGTTGAAGACCTCGATAGCATCATTGAGTGCTTCGATAGCTTTGTAAACCTCGTCTTGGACAGGTGCTTGCTAGGCCCAGAGGTGGGTGGTAGCCATGGTTACGATTCCCTTAGTTGCTGCCGAAAATTCACTTTTATTCCAAGTGTCGCTCAGATTTGTGAACGTCTGACAATCCATAGAGTTGCCGTAGGAAATATGCGAAACATTTCTGGCCAGTTTCTCGCAATGGCCCATCTTAAAGGACCGGGTCTGTCAAATCGCCAAGGCCCGTTCAGGTCTTTTGCATAGGTGAACACTGGCTGTCACTATGCCATAGAAATGCATGGAGGGTTTATTTGTATAGAATCTGAAGTACCTTGTCATCCCACCTGGTTCTCCGTTTGCTAGATCGTCTATACATTGCTGTTCCTAGACTGACCATCCATTGCTGCTGCTAGACCGACAATGCATTACAACGGCGAATTACAAGTACTGTTGCTCTCCTGCTTGTCTGTCTGTCTTGTTGCAGACGTCGTTTGTTCGCGAGGCCGTGCTGAAGTTGCTGCGTCAGGCCGTGCTCTTCCGACAACTCTGCACCGGCGGCTTGGAGCGTATGAGGTGAGCTTGAAAGTTTCATGCTCCTGAATTAGAGAACTTAGGAGCTGCGACTTCGGCGGTATTAGTGATGAAGTTGGTTGTTCCAACGAGGAACACACGCTTCCTGCCGAACTTGACACTTGACTGACTCGCGACTGCCATCCGGAATTCCTGAAATCCTGAATTAGAGGTTTCAAGATTTTCCAGGATTGTCAGCTTTTTTTTTAAGTTGAGTTGCTGTAGGCACAAGCACAGTGTTGGCCAGAGAAATCCGAGCTCATGAATAATAATGGCGCCGGGGGGGGGGGGGGGGTGAGGCTATGCGACCCTGGCCAACACTCTGCGCACCTGAGCGCGCGGCGCTGTTTTACTCACGAGGTCGGGGTTTCTCCGGCCAGAACTGTGAGCGATGGCCTGTTTTGTGCCACATATGCCACAAAGCAAGCTCCACGGCAAAAGGAAGGTTCGTCGGGAGGAGCTTGTCGGGTGCTGTAGCACTCTCTCTCTCTCCCCCCCCCCCTCTCTCTCTCTCTCTCTCTCACACACACACACACGGCGCAAGAAGAAATCCTACTTCAGTACATGTACCGATTTTCTGGAGTATAAGCCGCACTTTAGACACCCATAATAAGTCAGTGAATAAGTCAGTGTGGCTTATACAACGACGGGCAAATGAATGGTGATACACAGGGTGGATGGCTGTACTTCGTGACACAAATCTGGGTGCAGGTTAATAACCCGTTATACTCCGTGAAATACGGTACTACAATCTTCCTCAGCCCTACTCGAGCTCAACTGATGAGGGGTGAATTCCCCGAAACACTGTGCATTGAGCAGGGAGTGGAGTGGTGCTTTCTTGCATGTTTGCCGAGTCACAGGAAGGTCCAATGGACTTCTCGTGTGCTCTGGATGGCAGTCGTGAGTCAGTCAAGTGAGAATTCAAGCCGGCAGGAAAAGCGCGAGCTCCCATGTAGGGAGCAACACACAATTCCCGAAATCCGGTACTGTTCCACTAATTCTCAGTGTACTTGTCATCGTTGTGTTCACATTCTCGTTTGTTGTTCCAGTCTGGAACGGATCAACGCCATGTTGACCGAGTGTGACAAGTGCCACACATTTCTCCTTGGTGTCTTCAACGGCATCATCCGACGAGGAGCGTTTCCACATTGTAAGTAGTGTTGTTGTTGTTGTTGTTGTTGTTGTTGTTGTTGTTGTTGTTGTTGTTGTTGTTGTTGTTGTTGTTGTTGTTGTTGTTGTTGTTGTTGTTGTTGTTGTTGTTTATGTTGTTTTTGTTGTTGTTTTTGTTGTTTTTGTTGTTGTAGCTGTTGTGGTTGTTGTTGTTGTTGTTGTTGTTGTTGTTGTTGTTGTTGTTGTTGTTGTAGTTGTTGTTGTTGTTGTTGTTGTTGTTGTTGTTGTTGTTGTTGTTGTTGTTGTTGTTGTTGTTGTTGTTGTTGTTGTTGTTGTTGTTGTTGGTATAAATGAGAATGAGGCTGGAACTCGGTTGTATTGAACTATTTATTTACAACTGCGAACGTTACGTTCTGATATTGTCTGTCTGTCTGTCGGTCTGTCTGCAGTGGAAGCGCTGGCATTGTCTCTGGCATGGAAAACGTAACATAATGGCAAGCTCGAAGAACAGTGACGTGGACTTTCGACCGAAGGCAGACACGTCTCTCTCTCTCTTTCTCTTCCTCCACCTTTCTCGACCCAGCATGCTCTATTCCCTTGAGAATCTCGCTCAATTTCGCACATATGTTCCTGTCCCTCACTCCCGAGCGGAGTTTTCCCTCCTTTTGAATTGATCCCGCGGACTATTTCCTTCATGAAATCCATCGTATTATGCTTTCCCGCATTCCCAGTATTTACAACGGTTACTCTGTCAGCCCCTTGAAATTTTTATTAATTTTTATTTTATAAGATTTCTACCTATCTGCCATAATATGCGTATGAGCCAGGTAGTTGTATAGACCCTACACTGTACCTTAGACCAAGAGTACATAAACAGTGTGGAATATGTACTCTTGATTAGACCCTACACAAAACTCTCTGTTGGTGTGAGCAGTCAATTTGCTTGTTTTTTTTTTTTTTAACATTTAAAAAAATAAGAGGAGCTTAGAAGTTGCAAATAAAAGGGGATTTGTCAACTGACAACCGCTCTATTTAGTTGCAATTCACTCTTGGCGCATGCACTGGATGAAAAATTCTTTTATTACTAGTGATGTCGGAAATTATTGACGTTTCGCGCCAGTAACCCATCGTCAGAAGTTGCGGCTTCATTAAATAAAGGAGGTTGTGTTTAATCCTGTTAGCTGAATTGTATGATAATCTGATCATCACTTCTCAGAGCATACTCAAGCCTACTTACTCATTGGCGCATGGCCATCGACTTATTCCGGTACATTCAAATCAATCCTCGTCTGAACCTGTGCTTTCTAGTTTCATCATATTTTTTAACCCATTTTATGATTTTAGGCTACTTTTTGAATTTGGCTTTTTGATTGAGTTGTATGATGCATTGATGTTGGGATTTTAGACCCAAGCTTTTTTGAACTACATGCAGTATGGAAAAAAAGAAAATGATTTGTCGGACTCGTACCGTGTCCAGCCTAATCTTGTACGTACATGTACTTGACCGAGCTCTGTGCGTGCGCGCGTGTGGTCTGTCTTTGTGTTCGCCGGTGGCCCCGGGGTGCACACCAGGGATGGTGCACGACTGCACGGTCAGGTCATGTCGGTCCGACACCGCGCACTCAGATCGCAGCACATCGCGGTACCGGCACCATACCACAATACACCGCATAAATTGCGCCGACTAAAAAAAATTCTTTATTGTTCACAATATTGTGTACCGGTACGCGGTACCAGGTCCAGGGAGTCGTAAACATATTAATGGTATTTTACTTTTTTTTATGACCCCTGCTTCTTACTACATGTACATGTAGATCGCTGTCAGCGGCACATCAGTGCAGCACACAAGCAAAATGACCATTAACGCCCCCTGAGCACCAGTGGACTACTGGTATTGTACCTGGTACTGTACCTGGTATTGGACTGGCATTGTGACTTGCAGTTGTTGGGAAAACATTTTTTTAAAAACAGAACACGGTTGGAATCTCTTGGTTGAGAGGGCTTCAAAAATCAAAGCGAGACGATAAAAACGGACGGGCAGAATACATGAAGAATAGGCAGCGAAGCAGTCAACTGCTCGGGGAATAAAAAAAAACAGAGTAAAAATGTGATGAGTTTGAACAGGAAAAAAGGAGCTTTGGGGCTGGGGGGGGGGGGGGGGGCACCTTTTGTAGGTACTTTGCAGCGTTCTGCCAGCTGCTACTACTAGTACCTAGTACTAGTATTTTACCCACAACACAGGGTAGAAGTCAAGCAGACCACGCCACTGGCAGCAGCAGCAGATGTGGCAACAGCGATGATGAGGAGCTAGCAGCAGTACAGTACAGTCAGCCAGTTCAGGTGGGGACTTTGAAACGGATGACGGTGCGCTCACGGCCACACTCCAGCTAAACAGACCAGGACTCTAGCAGCAGTAGCAGACCTGACAGCAGAGATAGTTCATCTGGTCATGTGACCACCACGCTCCAGCAATAACCAAGCAGACCATGCTACTAGTGACAGCAGCAGATCTGACAGCAGAGATAGTTCATCCGGTCACACGAGCCAAAGTGTGTACATTCATGCCTGACGGCCGGCCAGGCACGGCGATGGAAGAACTGCCACACAAGTGCGTGGATCGTAACCATGGCAGCGGTGCTGGCACACGCAAGAAGCCGGTTTCCACGCCGATTACGGCAAGCGCGTGTGTACGTGCGCGTGTCGTTTCACGGATCCATGACGACGTCGAAGACGGAGAACACACACAACAGGTACAGATCAGAACGGCCGCACCGCTAAGCGTTCGTTGCGTGCGTCCTTGACGGTGCACCTGTCTTTGCACGGATCCATGAAGACGGCGCGCGGCGCGGACAGTGTCGACGCCACTGTGTGCTGTGTGTATGTCGCATATGCATGGCAGGCTTTGCACACACCATTGTCGAAGACAGCAGGCAGTCTCCAAGCCGGTATACTAGCAACCGAGGTGAACGTAAGCGTTAGCGGAGTTTTGTATAGACCATAGTCGTTGACAGCAGGTAGACGTTCTCTACCCTGGCACACATACACACTCTCTCCAGTCCGTGTGAATGTACCCTTGGCATTCCTCGCACATGCACGAGCGAGTCCAGGTGATGCATGTGTGTGCATGTACTAGCACTCCGGTCCGTACAGAAGATGCAGCGGTTGCGTACAGCGCAACGTAAAATACCCTGCGAAAGGGTCTGCTAGTAAGCGGCTCATGGCCAGAGCAACGAGGGCGGCAAGCGATCACCCCCCGAGTCAGGGTCCTTGTGAACATGCTAGTAGTCCACGCTGAGGGTTGGTCGGATCAGGGCGTATAGCACTGTGCCACGGACAGCGCACTGGTATAGAGCGTTGAGACTTGAGAGCATCCAGGACGGCATCTGCGACGGTGTGTGCGTCATGGGTCGCACTGGGATCAGTACTGATGGCAGATGCAGCGGTGTGTGTGTGTGTGTGTTTCATGGGTCACACTGGGATCAGCACTGATGGCAGATGCGGCGGTGTGTGTGTGTGTTCATGGGTCGCACTGGGATCAGCACTGATGGCAGATGCGGCGGTGTGTGTGTGTTCATGGGTCGCACTGGGATGAGCACTGATGGCAGATGCGGCGGTGTGTGTGCTTCATAGGTCGCACTGGGATCAGTACTGCCCAGTAAGCAGCTACATACAGACTGTAACGATGAGAACACCGTCGACGATATGACGCGCATCGTTGACTTAGATAAGCGATCATGCCAGCTTTCCAGTTCAGGGATGGTGTTTCTGTCTGCTTTGTTGTTGTTGCATGGCAGGTTCCTGTAGCCAGGGCTGAAGACAAGACCTCCCGAAGTTATGGGAAAGTCTTAGAGACAGCAGGGGATTATAAACAGCGGGGTCTAGCGAAGAGTAACGTTGTCAATGGATTACAGCCAGCGGAGTCTTGCGAAGGGCAGTTTTGTTAATGGATTAGAGCCAGCGGAGTCTTGCGAATGGTAGTCGTGTTAGTGGACTAGAGCCAGCAGAGTCTTGCGTTGAGCAGTGTTGTCGCTGACTACAGCGTGTGCATGTCAATAGTCACGGCGTAGCAGGTGTGGTGAGAGGCGGACAGTGGACAAGAAGCATGTTCCGAGTTTGGTAATCCTAGAGTACGCCAGTGATTCGGCGTCGGTTCGGGTCGTCACTGCACATGTTGACACAATGGCATGCGTGATCATTACACACACACAAACACGGCATAGATGCGGGTAGCTAAGGAACGGAATCGAGAAGCAGGTCCACACGACCAGCTTTAGTAGCACGTCCACGAATAGACACCTGCATGAGAAGACGATAGTGCCGTCGTTGATTCCAAGCCGGGGTGGGGGCACTCGTCATTGTTGCTTGATATGCATATTAATCTTGTAACCATACACACTGTTGCTATAGTTATAGTTGTTGTTGTCGTCGTTGCTATGGTACCCAAGTCACGGATAATCAGTGTCTATGTCGCCGCTTGGGTTCTCGCCATGCCAACACGTAACGCTGAGGAACCTCCAGGGCTGGTGAGTAGCCCTCCACGTACGAATTATCTTCAAACGAGATCATGTACTCGGAGTCGACCTGCAGAAAACATGCACATACACCAATGCACACGCGCACACACAGACACAGACACACAGACATGCTTACTGACAGCCAGAAATTGGTCACATGGGTCTCTCCCGGGGCATTCCCGGCAAAGGGAAGAGAGAGAGAGAGAGAGAGAGAGAGAGAGACAGAGAGAGAGAGAGAGAGAGAGAGAGAGACAGAGACAGAGTCTGTACTGATGAAAAAAAGACTATTCAGGTGGCTATTGAACCGCCCAGCACACTCGCACGCACACACACATACACACACACACACGTGAAAACTACACTCACATTGCCGGGACGAGCATCCACCAGACCTGGATAAAAGCAGGTCGTCTGCGGGTACAACGCCATCACTTTCTGTATTGCACAAACACACGTACACACACGCAAAAACAAGGTACAACGTCAGGACCTCCTGTACCGACTTTGTCTGGCCAGAGCAGTCTTGCTTGAATGGAGCTCACAAATACTGCATGGCAAGCCACAACAGTTCAAAGGGACTATGCTGTGTACACCCACATACAGTGCAGGAATACAGTCAGACCTCGCGTACCCGGTGCTCTTTTATCCGGATTCCTCGCCATCCCGACAAAAATCGTTGGTTACCGATTTACAGCATATGTCATGCATACACACAGTATGTGTGTTCGATTATCCGGTTCCCTCGCCTATCCGGATATTTGTATGGAAAACAGATGAGTGCGGTTAAGCGAGGTCCGACTGTATGATGGGTACATCCACACACACGTATTACATGATGACATCATCACCAGATGATCCTGACTCCCACGAGAGGGAAACCAAGGCTATGATCAAGCTGCCCTACCCGCACGGATGTTTGATGTGATACCATAAGCAGCACTAGGTGTCATCACCGTCGCTAAACTACGTGTAGATGACTTTGTCCTTGATGCCTCACCTGACCAACTGGAAACAAAGCATTGGGCATCACGGCAGGGTCAGCCTTGTGCTTGGGTAGCGGTGTGACACAGCTCTTTGCAACCGTGTGGCGACTGTACACAGGGACACAGATATACAGGTTGGGAGAGAGAGAGAGAGAGAGAGAGAGAGAGAGAGAGAGAGAGAGAGAGAGAGAGAGAGAGAGAGAGAGAGAGAGAGATGACAGAGAGAGAGACAGAGAGAATATTGCTACAAACCATTGGTGCAAACAAAAGGCAACATCAAATCGCTAGCGGCATTAGCTGCAGCACAGTGCAGTGAAGCACAGTACAATGCAGCGCAAACAGCCGTGCAAGCAACAAAGCAAGCAAGCAACATGCACTTACTCTCTAACACTCTTGCCTTCTTCATCAACATCCTCCACTACATACCTGCAGAATAACAACAGAACACACACACACACACACACACACACTACTACTACTATAGCATGACTGCCCATTGGGCAATGTCACCCCCGGAGGGGGCCAGAGTTTGGAGTGCACCGTCATTGGCAGGACTTCTGGTGCCTCGTCAAATCTTGCTGTCGTCGGAAACGTTTCGGGCAATGCATGCAGATCAGCGGCAGTGATTCCCTATCGGCTGCAGCAAGACGTTTTCCACGGTTGCAGTTATGGCGGTTAAAACCAGCCCGGGACTTGAAGCAGCGATTGCAGCGTTGACAATGCTGGAAGCAGCAACTAGCGAGAGACGCCGTCAATGCCGTATCTGCATGTTCAGGGAGTGCAGGCTGGCAGCGATGAACTGCAAGCCCACCCTTACTACGGAACCATCGGCAGCAACTGACGCACTGTGCTGAACCACGCTGTTGGTGGACGGGAAGTTGGCGCTCAGCCAAACACTTGTGCCGTGCCTTGTCTTGAGGACGAGAGAAAGCCCGGTTGCAAGATGAGCAGAGTACGGATTTCTCTACTGCCCGAGGAGGCTGAAAAACCAGAACCTGCTCTCGCCAAGCTGACCGGTCTTGTGCGCAATCAAACCAGTTTGGAATGGACTTCGTGTCAGTAGCCACAACGTCTCTCCACCTACGCCTGGGACCGCAGAAGGGGCGCGCAGCCAACAAACGACCAAACAACAGCTGCAATGGGACACGGTCCTCCGACATCCGAGCCACATGACCAAGCCACTCTAAACGACGATGGCGCATCTTAACAGAGAGTGGCACTGGGTCACCCCAGTGACGACGTAACTGCGCAGACGTGATGCGATCGGATTGCTGCTGACTGCGAGGGATGGCTAATATTGTGCGGATGCAGCGATGATGAAAGGCATCCAAACGTCTACTATCAGCTTTTAAGGGCGTCCAGCACTCACTGCCGTACAGCAAAATGGACAAGACACAGGCCACGTATAGCTTTCGCTTACTGACTAATGACAGCGAGCGATCCGACAAGACTGGAAGAAGAGCTCCAAAGGCTTTGGAAGCCTCAGCTATGCGGCGACTGACGTCAGTAGAGGAGCGGGCATCCGGTGTCACGACGGACCCCAGATAAATGAAGGATGGAACGTGCTCCACAGTATCACCGTTGACGTTCATATCGGCTCTATCAGGCATGTTGACTTGGCTACCTGCCACGAGAAATTTCGTTTTAGCAGCGTTGACGCAGAGGCCAAAGGAAGAGGCAACCGTGCAGAATGTTTCAAGGCACTTCTCAGCACCAGGGCGGTCTTCAGCGAGCAAGACCGCGTCATCTGCGTACTCAATGTCGTTGATGATTGCGGCAGTAGACTGGCGAGCGGGCTTTGAGAAAAGGTTGCCATTGATGCTAAATTGGATGGGGATGCCAGGTGGATGGTCGCTGTCCTGCATCACTTGTGCCCACCGCTCAAGCACAACACCGAAGTACAGATTAAAAAGTACTGGGGCCATCACACAGCCTTGACGGAGGCCATTGTTGACCGCAAACGGCTCGGTAGTGCTGGCACCGACGCGCACAGCTGCCTGCATGCTCTCGTGGAACGATTGGATTAGATTGAGGAGCCCTTCAGGAATGCCTAGCCTCCCCAATGCTAGCCAGAGTGCTTGGCGTGGTACGGAATCATATGCTTTCTTCAGGTCTACGAAGACACAGAACAGCTTCTGACGGTGCTCGTACGATTTCTCGATGAGCTGGCGAATGGAAAAGATGGCATCAGCGCAGCCGCGACCAGGGCGAAAGCCACACTGGGATTCTGGAAGTTCTTGTTCCGCGACAAGTTGGAGACGGTCCTGAATGAGACGGCCACAAACCTTGCCAGCGACATCTAGGAGGGCAATGCCGCGCCAGTTGTTGCAGTTGGTCAAGTCACCCTTTTTGGGAATCGGGACGAGTTGGGCATCCCGCCAATCCTGGGGAACCGTTCCGTTGGTCCATGCAGTGTGAATAACATCAAGCAGAGCCTCAAGCAATGGTGTACCACCAGCTTTAAGCAGTTCAGGTGCAATTCCAGATGAGCCAGGAGCCTTGCAATTAGCCAGCTGGCGTATAGCCATAGTGAGGTCCTCTAGCGAGGGAAGTTGGCCGAGTGACTCATCAACTTCACGCTGCTCAATGTGGTCAAAGATGGTAGCATCGAAGGTGCTGCGAACGTTCAATAGACGGGCAAAATGCTGCAGCCAGCATTTCTCTTGCCCCTCCTGGGAGCTACAGATAACTCCGTCACTGTCACGGATGGATGGGATGGAGATAGGTGATAATCCCGAATAGCACTTCTGTATATCACGGATTGCAGACCATGCGTGCTTGCCACTAAACCGACTTGACTCAACCACATTAGCTTTACGTCCAATCCACTCACTCTTTGCGTTACGCACGGCAGTTCTGCACTTGCCACGAGCCTCGACAAAGCGACGCCTGTCAGCGTCAGAACCAGAGGCGAGCCATTTGCGATGTAAGGCATTGCGGCTATCCAGCATAGGTGCAAGAACATCAGCACACGCTTCAAACCAATCAGGCTGGCGACGACGTGGACGGCCAAGATGCTTCTCAGCGCTGGTGACGATAGCAGATTTGACGGCAGACCATTTGTCCTCAACGCAGCCATCATGATTCCATGATTCCATGATTCCATGATTCCATGATTCCATGATTCCAGGACTTCAACGCTAGAGTTGGAGCTGAAATCTGTGACGATGGCTGGTATGGAACACGTGGCCCACATGGTGTTGGCACTGTCAATGAGGCTGGCGCTGAGCTTCTCCAGTTTTTAGCGTGCAACAGCCTTACTGTGTGCAACACCTGGTTCATGAAACGTAACATCCACAAGTGTACCTGGCAACATCCCCGCTCGAAGCGGTGGCACTGCATCGACTATGCAATGGTCCGGGAACAAGACCTGTCCAACTGCACGGATTGCCATGTCATCAGGGGAGCTGAGTGTAGTACAGATCACAACCTTGTGTGTCTCACATACCGCATCCGCTCATCTGCTTGCCACACACACACACACACACACACACACACAACCATGAGACAGAGCTACAGGGCAGGCACTCTACTTTTCTTGTTTCTTTCACTCATTTCGCTTGGCTAAACCAATCCTCTTCTTTCTGTTCTGACTGTGCTACGAGATGGTATCAATAACACCGCACGTGTGCGTGCGCGTACACACACACACACACACACACACATACACACATACACACACACATACACACGTGCACACACACACACACACACACATACACACGTGCACACGTGCACACACACACACACACACACACACACACACATACACACACACACACACACACACACACACACACACACACACATACACACACATACACATATACACCCCCCCCCCACACACACACACACACTCACGTAGTGGAGGCAATGCTGTAGGAGGCCACCTCGGCCATGATCCACTGCTCCTCGCCTTCGGAGGTCTCGACCAGCGCAGCCACCTGATCAGCAAGCTTAGCGTGGTAGTTATTTCCCGCACTGATACACCCGACTAGCGCTTGTGATCTGCACGCACACCATCCGCACAAAGCAAACAGGGAGAAGCACTGTAGAATTACCCTTAGTACCCGAGCAGGTCGGGACCGGGCAGAGCCCGGAACTCAGAACATTAAAAAAAAAACTGTTCACAATCATACTGAAAGGTTGGGCTAGCTGCCGCCTGCTGTCTTTACAAAGCCATGTTCTACATGG